ATAGTAGTACTAAATATTATTTCATAAGGATATCAATTCTAAATCATACCATAATAATATCCAACTTCTAACATAATAGTAATAAATTATAATTTATAACATAATAAGTTTAATTCTATAATACAATAATTTCTAACCTCTAACAAAATAGCAATAAATTTTAATTCACAAGACAATAAATTCTAATCTATAATACAATAATTTCTAACTTCTAACATATTAGTAATAAATTCTAAGATAATCAATTCTAATATATAACATAATAATTTATACTAATATATTTTTTCAAACAAGTATCATTTATGATTTATAATAATATAACTTATAATAATATACTAATATCATTTTTTTAACTGTATATGTTGTTAGTTCATTTTATCCTCAACAAGTGCATAACAAACATAACCTTAAATTAGGGTTTAGGGTTTAGGGGTTTAGGGTTTAGTTGTTTAGGGGTTAGGGTTGAGGGTTTAGTGGTTAGGGTTTAGGGTTTAGGGTTTAGGCGTTTAGGCGTTTAGGGGTTTAGGGGTTAGGGTTGAGGGTTTAGTGGTTAGGGTTTAGGGTTTAGGGTATATTATGTTTATGATTGTCATTATGTTAGAAATTATTGTATTGTAGATTAGAATTGATTGTCTTATGAATTAGAATTTATTGCTATTTTGTTAGAGGTTAGAAATTATTGTATTATAGATTAAAACTGACTAGTACAGAACCCGTGCGATGCACGGGGTGGACATTTTTAAGGCTATTTGCTCAACTTTGTTTTTATTTTTGTGAATAAAAAATATTAAACGAAATAGAATAATAAGACCATTATATTAATAAACACCTCTTTGTAAACATGACAGACAACTACATATAATATCTCATGACTGAATTTCAGTTTATCATTTTATATAACGGTTTATTATTTAGTGGGTCAAACACTTAATCACTTTCTATTGATTATCATTAAATTCTTTTCTTATTACTTAGAACTATTTAGTTGCGGATAGAGTTATATAATTAATCAACCAATTCATTCAATAAGTTTCATCTTTATATTTTTTTATTTTTTTTTTGCTCAAATATGAATTGAAGTAGTCCATTAGGCAAAAATAAAATCACAAAACCAATATAATGTGTTTAGAACTTCAATTTATTTGTAATAATCAATTGACATAAAGGAAATTTTTTCTAGTAGTAGTAGCATGTATCCCTTTCTTTTTTCAAGACAATTAAAATTTATAACCTAACTAATACTCCCTCCATTTCAAAATAAATGTCGTTTTGACTTTTTTGATTCATCCATTTTGCTATGTATGTAGACATTAATATGTTTAGATACATAACAAAATGGATGAATCAAAAAAGTTAAAACGACATTTATTTTGAAATGGAGGTAGTATAAGATTTTCCACACATGGATTAGGGTCCCTAGAAATCACTTTGTTCTTATTTGGCAACAACATTCTCACCAGCAATATCCTACATATTCACATGGTTTGACGGCTTATTGAGAGTGCTCACATCGTTATCATTAGAGTATCCCTAAGAAAATCCAAATAAAACATGTTAATAATTAACATATAAAACTATATTATGAATAAAAATAGATAGAATAGTAGAAATTAACCTATTCATGTTCCATCTTCCTATGGAATTTATACAAAAAGTCTGAGTCATGGCGTTCGGCATGTAAATCACCATATTTCTCAACCAAAAGATAATCCACTATCACTTTAACAAAGGAATAAGCTCCAAAGAAATCTTCAAGCTTATGTGGTTTGAGACTTTGAGTTGCACTTTAAACAATACCTTCTTATCATCAGTGTTGAATTCTAAATAAATCACTGATGCGGATATCGGTTACCTACATCAATCACTACTCTGTAACATAGTAAAATAAAGAGTTGATGCCTTAAACAAAAGACACAAAAATATTTTAATTGTTAAATAAAATATAAAGCACTTATTACCTCCTCACCAGCACACTTGAGATTATAGCAACCCCATCCAATTAGTGGCTTACAATAATCATCCCAACAATGAAAAGTCGCACTCGCAGAGTTGTTCACAAAGTCAAATTGAATTCATAAGATGAAATTGCATCACTGCTCTCATGCTTGTATCAGTTAAAATGATATTTATCCATAACGGGTAAATTCATTATATAAGAGCATCTACAACCGTATGTTATTGTGGATTGTAGAAGCAATATAAAAAAATAACTTCTCCAACAACCATTCTTCCCCTTATTTATAATACAAAAAAAATAAATGGATGACATGAAGATAGAATAAACCATTGGAGACTTTTTATGGGCTTGAACATCTATTTGTTCCACGTGGATGGAAGATCATCTATGTGATTGTCACATACACTACAATTCAGGTTCACGGTTGGAGATGCCCTAATGTTCACACATTGAACTCTGAAATATAAATCTAAAGGTTCTAGATTCAGCCTTTTCATCACAAGCCAAGTAGTAAAACTTGTCTCCTACTGGAGCCAAAGCCTTTGGAAACTTGACATGAGAGGTAATACCAATCACCAATGAAACAAACTATTGTTGCACATATCCAGCAGTTGTCATCCTAGAAAAGCACATATAAAGTCTATTAAGCATTTTTTTTAAGATTAATAAGTACATATATTTATAACAAAATAACGATGACGCTCTTGAATGCAACAACTTCGTTTCCGTCGACAATCAAATTTGTTATATCCTATGTGTTCAGAATCTGCATAATCAAACTTTAACAGTATTAAATAATTGACAGATTAAGAATTAATATTAAAAAATATAAAATAAAAATATTAAAGTACACAATTGGTGTGATTAATTAATTACCTCGAAAAGACTTGGCCAGACACATTTGCAACAAAATCACAAGGGGTTCTGATTGAGCTTTCGTCAACATTTTCGGGATCTCTCAAGTCAACAAAGCTCTTGAAATCATAGGTCATGTTTGCCTCTTTCTTGGCTTCGCGCATTACAATGGAATACGGCTG